AAAAAAAATCAAAAAAATAAAAATAAAAAATCACAAATTGATTAGAATATTTTAAATGAATAAAAATATTTTTAAAAGATTATTTTGTTGGATAAAATTTTTCCAATAAAATTTGTTTTCTTTTCAATTTATCAACTTTTTTCTTTTTGCCTCTAAAAATTATAAACTTTTCTGTTATTGTCATTTTCAATCAATTTTTATTATCATTCTCATCCAACCCCATTCATTTAATTATTTCATTTATGAATGTTAAAACTGATTTTAAAGAAAAAAAATAGAAAAAATTTTCAAAAAAAGTGATAAAAATGGATGATACTTTAGCATAATCGATAATATCAAGTTTCTCTTCCAAAACATATTGCTTCAATTTTCGACCTTTTTGCGCTACCATTGATTCTGTACCATAATTATTACCGCCATTATCAACGATCATACTACTATTACTGCTTCGATCGCTTTTCATTGATGTAGGCTAAATTTGTTTTAAATTATTCGTTTTTTTTTTTGACAATATTTACTGATATACGAAATAGGACAAAATAAAAACTACCACATATATATATTTTTTTTCTTTTTATTTAATATTTATTTACTTACTTTTTATTTGTTTATTTTTTGTTTACTTTTTATTTATTTATTTTTCATTTATTTAATTTTTATTCATTTATTCGTTTACTATAAATTTACTTATTTCCTATTTATTTATTATAATTTATGTAATTTGTAGTTAGAAAAAGACTCGTAATGCGTGAAATAAACTTTTATATGATCACATTTTTCATGTGATTATATGTATGATTCATAAAATATGAAATAAACTTGTATTATTTTTTTTTTTTTTACTATCACATAATCATTGTTATTATCAATGTTACCAATTTTATCATTCATACTGTCACTGTGTTAAAATGTCTATTATACTGATTGTAATTGGATCATTTTTAGATTGGGATTTTTGAAAAATTATTACTTAAATGTTAGCCTAATCTTTTTCATTTTATATAGATTTTTGATTTTCTTACATTATCCATAATTATCATTCTTATCACTATTTATAATGGCTAAATTATTTTTGCTAAATATATGTGTACATAAGGAATTGATATACTAAACATATTAAAAACACATTTGTATTCTTTTTTTTTTTTGTTCGTTTTTTTTCAAATATAAATTTATTTAAATTATATCCATTAGAAAATTATTAAATTTTAATATATATATATATATATTGCAAACACACTAAAGCACAGTAAATATGATAAATGTTTTAAATCTTCAAATTAAAAAATTTCAATTTTTATCAAAAATCAAAGTGACATCCTTTTCATTTTTTCTTATCTTTTCAATTTTTCATATTTTCTTCTTTATTTACTTACTTTTCTTTTTCTTGATGTTGTTGCATCCAAATTTCCTGTTACAATATCGTCAACCATATTGGATATCGATTAAATCATACATATAGATTGGTAATTATTATAATATATCACGTTCCGTTGTTGTTGTTGTTGTTGTTGTTGTTATTGTTGTCGTTGATTTTTCTTAGCAAATAATAAAATGGTTGAAAATAATAACAATAATAATAGCAATAATTTGCATAACTTTGGAACCGATAATTTGACAATACAGGTAATATTTGTACTTTTATCCAAATAATATTTCTTTCTAATTTTTCCTTATCACAGAATTCAAATGCAATTTTTTTTCTATTTTATTCGTTTCATTTGATAAATATCAGTTAAAAAAGATGAAGAAAAACAAATAAATATCATCCCAAAAGAAGCGAAATAAAGAAAACAAAATGAATGAAGGAATTGATTAATTAATTAGCTAATTAATCAATTACATATAATCATAATAAATTATTATTATTAATATTACTTTATTATTATTATTATTGTTATTATTATTATTATTATTATTATTATTATTATTATTATTATTATTATTATTATTATTATAATTATTATTATTATTATTATTATTATTATTATTATTATTATTATTATTATTATTATTATTATTATTATTATTATTATTATTATTATTATTATTATCTACT